ATTTGTAAAACGCGGAGTCAAAATTTGTAAAACGCGGAGTCAAAATTTGTAAAACGCGGAGTCAAAATTTGTAAAACGCGGAGTCAAAATTTGTAATCGTAAATTAAAGATCAAATCACTCCCTATTAAGGTTTATATATTACCGTAACATAACAAAAATAATAATAATAATAATTTTCCCCTAGCCTGCATAGGGGAAAATTTCGAAAAAACCCAAAACAAAACACAAAGCCTCTGCGGAGGAGATTGGTAACATAACACCTATTTATGGCAAGTGTGCTCTGCCGCATTTCGACATTTTATCTCCGTTGCTATGGTTATGCCAACACGTACTTCTTTTAATGTGTGAGTTGACACCCGAATTCTAAAACCTTCCGACCAAAATGATACTACATATTTTGGCATGTGCCGCTGTCATGTAGGGAATATATTTTTATAGCTTCGTCTCGTGTGATTGTAGACGTTATTCAAGCCACATATTGTCAATTACAATTACAACTTTCGCGGCAAAGGAATCAGTGGTTATAACATATATAACATCAGTGGTTATATTTCAGACGCATTTTAATATTTTGGGAAAAAACTTCCGGCAATCGATAGATCTTCAGTCCGTGAATATAAATCAATAAAAATGTAAAAAATGATGAAATCAGTGTTTTCATCATATAATGGAACCTTAAACAGTACATAATCATTTTGGTAAAATTGTGTGTTTCTTGTTTAATTAAAACCCATTGAGTCGCAATGTACCCCAGTGCGCCCTACTTTTTTTTTACTTGTCTAACACCAGACAATTTTACTCGTCAATGACAATGGCGAAGCTCTGCAGCTTAATGGGTACGTTGACCAAAAAATCTGACAATGTCTCTAGTTAACCCATTGAATCGCAATGCACAATGGGGAAGCTCTGCAGCTTAATGGGTTAATATAACGCGCTCAAAGTGATGAACAGAACAGTCAAGCCTATAAGAATCTGCCACGTGATTTACGACCACCAGTAACGCTCGCACCTGAAATTTAGAGGTATATGAAAGTTGCATGCCATATATGGCATGTAAGAAAAATTTGCCCGATCCTGATAAATTGCCCGACCACTACAAAAGAGACATTTTTAAGTACAATCTGTCTGATTTTTAAGTACCACAAACTGTCCTACCATTATTAATGACTGGTCCCTTCAACAATAAACTACGATTCATCATGCATCAGCATCACGTTCAATATTTCAACTTGTAAAAAATTTTTTGAAGCGGATTTTTTTCCTTGTTGTAATGTTGATGCGCAAATCTCACGCAAGCTAGGATGAGACTGGACCTATTTATACATTACGACGCATCGCTCAGGGGAGCTACGGGATAGAGATTACGAATGAGATTATGTACTACAAAAGAAACACATCTGGTTTGACGCACAATTTCGACTGGAAAACCTAGTTCGAAATGCGTATGTTCAGTCACTGAAAGAGTAAACTGGCTCTGGAAGTTATAAATAGAGAATAATACGTGGGTGCGCGGAAATACCAGATTCATTTCGAGTGTTGAACACGATATGATCTCGTGCAAGAGTGAGCGCAGCGAACGATTAATAAAAATATAAAATCTGGTATTTCCGCGCGCCCATGTATGTATTATTCTCTATTTAAAACTTCCAGAGCCAGTTTACTCTTTGAGTAAATGAACATACGCATTTCGAATTAGAAGGTACGTATTTTGAACTAGAACGTATAAACGGGGCTGTTTTTTATGTTTTGTAGATCGTTATTACAGGTAAACTACGTGAAGCGTTCCTCTTTTGACTTCGTAACTCATTTGGAATTTTCCTCATTAGCTTTGGCCTTTGCAAATTCGAAAAATTCTTTACAAATCCCTTGAGGGAATTTGCAATGTTCCTATCGGCTGTTGCAATATTCCAATGCAAACAAACTTCATTTTAAATTTTCCTAACTTCCTGTTTTAATTTCCTGACTTCCTGTTCTGTTCTGGGCGTTGTTATTGGTCGATTATTTTTGTTAGCCAATTGCAACGCCCAGAACAGAACAGGAAGTTAGAAACTTGTAACAGGAAGTTAAGAACTTCTAACAGGAACGGAGGAAAATTTAATTGGCTTTTAGCAACATTGTAAATTTCCTCAAGGGATATCAAGAGTTACTGTGAGGTTAAATTTTACCATCTTGGAAAAAAGACCACTGAGAATTCATCTGGACAAAAAATTAGAAAGAAATTAAATAAACTTGTACCTTCTAAGCACCAGTGTGAGTGATTACACAGAATGTATCAGAGAAAGCTAAATATTACTAAAATTTACTATGAAACTGCATGCCCAAGCTGAAAGTGCAGACTCTGTCTCAAACATAATTTTACTAAAGATTTAGAGTGAAAACTACCCAAGCTGAAAGTGCAGACTCAGACTGTCTCAAACATTTCACTAAAGATTTACAGTGAAAACTGCCCAAACTGAAAGTGCAGACTCTTTTTTTTACAGTACAAACTGCCTACGCCGATAGTAGAAACGTTACTTACCAACTTCCATTTCCATAAAGTGGTGCCAGAAACCGTAAGTACATGTATTGATTAGACGATACTTCACCAGAGAATCATTCACAGATTCAAAACAAATATATAAAGAATGTCGTAATTCGAAATTTTTAGCTTTAAAATGCGATTCAAAGACAACAACATCGCCAATTAATGTTTTTTTCTTGTACCCTTTTCCAAAAAAGCTGAGATTTCAAGGCGAACGTACCAAAAAAAGGTATTTTTAATCCAGAAATGCAAAAAAGCCTCGAAAAGTATAGTATTTTCTATAGCATTTCATTGATGAGTGGGAACGACCAATATGGCCGCCGCCTATTTTCACTGGGGAAACCGCTGAGATTTTTGGCTTCAGTTTTGTATTCCGAGATGCGCTATCTAGTGTATATGAGATATCTATATGATTGCAACATACAGAGGATCACTTTAGGTTTTGAATCCGGCATAATCATGCATTATACGAATCGGGAGATTAATGTATGATTTTTATGATAACATCTAAAAGCAAGTTGCAGCTAGCCAGATAACCCATAATTTAGAAATAATTATTTATAAATAGGAATATTACTGACACATGACAAGACATGCGCACAAACCTGTAATACTGATAAATTCAGGGCGGACTGGTAAAAAATTATTATATCCGAAAATATTTTACCGGGTCGCATAATACAATTCTCATTTATAACACTCCAATGACACTTAAACGAATTTCCAGGAACATACAAAATAAATTTAGTTTAATTTAATCACACTTGATCGATCTTAGCCTATCAAATGACATACGGGGTAATCTGGCTATTGTTCCGTTTATATCAAGGAGAGCTTTTTTATGGTATTGATGAAAACTATAGACTACAGTTTGATTGAAGGATCCCACCACCAAGCTTGGGATATTTAGTTTTGATATGTCTGTCAGACTGCAGATTTGTAAAATATTGCCAATATACTGAACTAGAATCTCGCTTCCCATGTGCATGCCAGGATTCTCGATCATTGCCAAGGATTAATATAGAAGCATGATTGCGTTTTAAATCCCTTGTCAAAAACTTGTATTAAAGTATTATTTCCTTCTTCATTGTGTTTTTTATATTTTCATTATGTGATAAAATACATTACTTCATTTATTTGGGAATCGGCACTAGCATAATTAAACAAAAAAAAATTAAAAATTAAAAAAAAAAAAAAAAAATTAAAAAAATTAAAAATAAATTAAATTTAAATTTAAATTAAATTTAAATTAAATTTAATTTAATTTAAATTAAATTTAAATTTTAAATTTAAATTTAATTTGAAATTTAACAATGTTTCCATCACGGTTAATGATTCCATACTTGATAGAATTGACTCCTTCAAATACTTGGGAGTTACAATTCAACAAAACTTAACCTGGTCAGAACATATCGACAACATCAGCAAGAAGTTTAATCAACGCCTTGGTCTCATTCGCCGCATAAAATTCTTACTCCCTATTCAAGCCAGACTCACCCTCTACAACAGCCTAGTCCTCCCTCTATTGGACTACAGTGATATCGTGTGGGGAGATAAAAACAACTCCACTCTAATGAACCACCTTCAAGTTCTGCAACATAAC